CGCTCACCCATCCCCATGAAGACCACCCGATGCCTCAGCATCAAAGGAGGCACCCAAAGCTCCCCACGGAATCTTGAGAAGATGGGCTCCTATCCATTCGCACATCAGGAGGAAATGCATCGGACAGCCTTTGAAGGCCAACCCTGCTCCTGGAGAACCAACAAGGCGTGCACCGTCAACCAAATAATCACGCATTGCCACATATTGGATCATTTCACCCTCAAAACATCAAAAGCACATGACGGGGTCCTTAGATTCCCCTTCATTTGACTTCTGACCGACATGTCTCCGAGTTTCATATGGGGGTTGTTCAAAATTATGGTTCCCAAAAATTGTTCTTTCGCCGCGCTTTCGCGGATCTTTCGCATCCTTTCGCCCCCAATGTAAAATGTATTAGGATATATGATATTATTTTCGTTATTTTGTTTTCGGTGGAGGATCTGAGTAGAGCCACAAAAGTTCATCCATCGTATATGCAACAATAAATGTGCCGCTGCTACTTACTACTTTGGGGAGTGTGGATTGTGGATTCTGGATAACTTTGGTTTTTGGTTCCCGTTATTCCAAGGGCGCTCGGTAGATCTTTTCTCCTTCATGGGCGTTCAGACATCTTTCGTTGCAGCTTGCTTCTTTTCTTGCCATCGACTCCGTCTTCGAAGTAATTGTTTCGCATGATTTCTTGCAGTTTTTTCCCTGTCACTGATGAGGTTTGGCACTTGCATTGGGCAAGGTGGTGTTGCGGTTGGGGCGCTTGGCTTCGGGACAGTTGTTGTTCACCCATTCCTGGAAAAGAAAAGCAAGATGCGACATGGCGTGGACTCTGGACTAGCCCATTTGGGCTCCCGATGGTTTCGGGCAGGCTCGTCTTTCGCCAACCTTGCGCGTCGCTTTCGCGAAGCTTTCGCGTTTTTCCTCGTTCGGTTTGGGGAATTTTGCTACTTGAATCTTCTCTTGTGATCCGTCTGCAAGATTTATTATTGCTGTCTGTTTCTTTTCGTACGCATCTATGACATGCTGGGGTGTTCACTAAGCTGGTGATACATATCCTTGGGGATATTACATGCTGAGCCACTACTCTTGCAGCTTTCTGCCTATCACGCCTTGCATGGAAACCACTCTCTCTCTGTTTGTTTTAGACACAAAGATATATGCACAACATGTGCATACATGTATGAATTATCTATGATATATTTCTATCAAGTTTAGCCTTTCGCCAAACCTTTCGCCGCGCTCTCGCATCCTTTCGCCCCTGCAGGTAAACATAACTTCAAAAAGCTAGAATGTCACTCGTCCACTAAAAACATTACACGGGTTTTAGAACGACTCCCATATGCCGACGACACCTTGGCAGGAGGAAGAAGCGCCTTGCTTACACCCTTTGGGACGGCAACGGTCCTTGAAGGCTTCGAGAGAAAGTCAAATTATTGCATGTTATTGCCAAGTCGTTTGCCAGTAGTTGTGCGCGAGCCATCAGTGACCCCCTCTTCTAAACATCTAGGTAGCTGATCCACCTGAGAAGCTGCAAAACGAAAACCAGTGTATTTTTGTCACGAGCGGCATGGCTGCGGTGAAACAAGGGTGCAAAGCAGCCAAGAGTTAGTAGTGAAAACTTCAACATCACTGGATCATTGGATATTTGATCGCAATCCCGTCCTTCTGTGTAAATTATCCTGTGTAAACTATCCTTTTGCTGGGCAAGAGATTGCGACACCCTGAAAGAATCATGATGACTGTACATGGACAAGAGGCCCCTCCTAAAAAGACCCATTTCCGCTACAACAAGGTCGATGTTTGGATGGAGCTTCAGTGTTTTTCCTATTTGCATGGACCGTTTTCCGCTGCCCTCCTCTACGGTAGAGTGGGCACCAACAAGGCGCGCGCGCGGACCCAGGGTGTTACTGCAAGGAGCCGCCACCCCGACAGAGTTGACAAAATGCTGTTCGTGACGCCCCTCGTTGGGGGCCAGTTTTGGCTCACGGCGTCCCTCTTGCCGCTGCACTTCAAGTTCCCTCTCCAGTCTCATTAGTGCTTTGAACTTATATAGGTGTGTCGGAAGTATAGCACAATAGCATTTATACGGGCCCAAGGTAACTACAATTCAGTTGCATGGTATAGCACTTCAATTTCCCTTTCCCCAAGCCGCCAGATAACCCTTGAGAAACCATCCACATTCAGATGATGCAAAAGCAAAAAATGCATTTCTTGCATCACCACCGGCTCCAAAATCACCAAAACATCACCTCCAAAACCTTTCAACTGTGATCATCTGTGCACCCTCCTCCCCCAGCATGTGCTGAGTTTACGTGTACGTTTCTCGGGCCACCCTCCCAGACCCCCTACCTACTCACTTCGTTCGCCAAGCACAACTCAGCTGGCGCCTTCTACGAAGGCTGGCTTTCGTAATCATGTCGCCCTTGTCATTTACAGTCACCAAGCCAACCACTTGTTGAACAACAAACCATAGGCTTCAGGTTGACCACATTCCCTTGGCGCCCGACACGGGAGAAATCTGCTGCGCCGCAAGGACCCTGAGCATCCGCGCGTCGAAATCGAGTGGTGGGTTTTGCTCGGGGGATCGAGCTGACGCGAGGGGAGTCACATCATGGGTATACATCCTGGCATAAAAGATCTTGCATTGCAAAAGCACAAAATCATCCATCAAACTCTTATATATGACCAGATGAAAACTGGCCTGGAGCATCCAAATCCTTCTGTCGGGGGCACAGGTGCAACGACTCACAATGGACGCACGTGTATCTTGTGCATCTCCTGCCGGACTCCTGTCTGACAGCGACTTCGAGCAAAAGTGCTCATAACTGTGACCACCATGCTTAGCGTGTTTTGGTATGTTTTGGTCACTGGTCCCTCAAAAAAGCTGGATTCAAATCGTAATATGTTTAATATTGCTCAGTTGTATTTTAAAGAAAGCTCAGCTGTCGGATCTCTATCGGCTTAAAACGAAGTTCCATCGGCCACGATGGGCGCTCGCTCTGCCCACCGTCTCTCGGCGCGGCACTGCGCCACGATGGCCCAGCTGGGCAAGTTCAGCGCAGGCGTCACCTCGCGAGACAGGTCGGACCAAACTGAGCACCGGCATGGCGAGGGAGGTCTCGCCAGTCCCAAAGTGGTTGATTTTGGAGGGGTTGCCATGAACTGCCGCGGATGTGAGGCAAAGACATGAGAAACTTGGACGAACACCGTAAAGATGTCTTAAAATGAGACCCGAATGCGTTTTCACGGGGCTCTCAGCTGCAACAACCTGTTGCTGAGTTATTCATGTATCACTGGCTTCTAGCCACTGCCATTGTGTCTCCTGAAACTTGACCAGGTACAAGCCTACACATCGCGGACGTCATGGTATGACGTTCTAATTGCGCCACAAAACACACTAAATTGGCTGAATCACCCTCAATCCATTCACCCACCCAATATCAAAAGCACCTCATGGGAAAGAATCTGGTCTACCTATTGTTCTGTCCTTCCTGCGGTTTGGCTAGTATGGTCCAAGTAAGTCGATTCCAAGCACACTCTCCCTCAACAATTATGGAACATAATTAGGGCATGCTGCTCGGCTTCCATGATCAAATGTCTGACAAAAGAGTCGTGTCCCGACAAATGGGATTCTTGTGCCAACTTGCAAAAGCCCTCGAATGCGCCGCTGCTGTTGCAGGTGCACCTTGCCGCTGTCGCAAAAGCGGCAATCCAAAGGACAGCCAGCTTGGGAGGAGACCTGAAAGGCAGCGGCCCCTTTCTGGGGTCAACAAGAAACCATTGCATGAGTTCATTCAGTTTCCTCTGGGACTAAAATTCTGAAACCAATCAGTAGTCCAGGGTTGTCTCATACTGAAACCAACTTACATTGACATGCTCTCTGCATCAAGGATGAGTTGAGATAAACCTGTCATTCTGTCATCTGATGTGCCTTTCTGGGATGAGAGCAAGAGCAAAAACCAACTTCAGCCTAGGAGCCTGTCTTTCCTGTTCCCGTCTTGACTGTCAATGCTCTAGTTTTGTGCCTTTGTTCAAGCATGGTTCACCTAGGTTTGTTGATTCAAAATCAAAATCCTAGCAAGCCCCTCTTGCTTGCAAAACCAGCGGGAAAATCAACGACATACAACACCTAGGCAGCATGCCTTGCCAAACTGGTCCCCCCCCGGGACTGGCACCCTCTTCCCAAGCATGTTCGCTAGTGAGTTTTTGGATCTGGTGAGTTTGTTCGGGAAAGTCCAAAAAAAGCTCTGCACCATTGAGTAGCTACCGAGTGGAATGTGAGACTTGACATCTCCTCAGCCTGTTTTTTGTGCTCAGGCCTTCCTACCGCGGGGGGGAGTGTAGGGGGAGGTAGTTCAAAACTCTCTGAACCAAGAAGAGTTTTCTTGTCGGGTCTATCTTGTTGTGCTGCAGACTGTGCTCATCTTCATCAATAGCAATAGTTATATGCTATAGACGAAGTTAATCCAGTGATAAGCATCAAGCGGCCTTCCAAAAACAGCAGCTCTTGCTGCAGGTCCTTACCAGAACAAATTGCTCAAGGTCCTCGAGGTCCTGTTCTCACCTTGAACTCGATCATGCACCACACCACAAACTGAGGGCCCGGTCGCACACTGCTGCACCTTTAGCCTTGGTAGGGGCTCCATGTTCACCACTGAAAATCAGCCCTTAACATCCCTGAACAATACCAATATTGATGGCCACTGAGATGATCCAAATTTCTATGCACACCCCTTCTACGGATGGGGGAATTTCGTGAGCTGCGCTTTTGGCTGCAGAGCCCAAAGCCTGAAGCCTCTTGAGGCGGGGGGTTTTCTCCATCCCCTCCACAGATCCGTACCACGGACTGGTTGAAGCACCACGGACTGGGCGAAGCACCACGTACTTCGGGCATCGAAACATCGCAACCAAAGAAAACACCCTGTCTCCAAACACCTGGCGGAGCATGAACAAGTGGGTCTCCCCATGTCTCCCTGTTACTGTCCGCATGTGCCCTGTGTCTCTTTTGCTTCCTTTCTGCGGCTCAAACCACTCCATCCTGTTGCCAACGCTCACTGCACTTGGGGCATTCTGCCAGGATGCACTTGCCTCGGCAAAACACAGTCAGTCTTGGCATAATGTCTCCTGCTTGGTTGACCATGTGTGCATATATGGTGGCTTGCTGATATCCAATATGCATATCAATACCTCTCAGCCATACGCTGGAGGGTTGGATGACTTGACTAGCTTCCCACAACAGCCCAGCGCAAACCCAAATGTTCACAAAATCTGAGATGAACTCTCGCCACCTTGTATAAATATATTTAAATATAATGCATATATTTACAGTTTAGTGAAGTTTAGTGTACCTGTTACGATGGGCATCATATTTGAGATTAATGTCCCAGCGTCTAGGTCTTCTAGGATACATGATGGAGGGTCGGTTGCTTGCAAAGTGATGTTCTTGAGAGCCAGGCAGAACCGCGTTTTCTAAGTACTCAAGGTTCGACACATCGACACATCAAAAGTGGTTGCCTGGATGAACCTGGGCAAAATGGCTGCTTGATCCACCAGGCAATGCAGCAAGAACCGATCTTGGAAGGCAATGGCGCACACACACAATATAAATACCATGCGGACGACGCCACACCATTCAAATACCTCCCCCCGGCACACGCCGGTGTGGCGCCCGGTCTGGCCTGTGTCTTTGCGCATGTGGCCCATGTTGCCTGTGTGCCCGGTCTGTTGAGGGGAAACTGGTTCTCGACTCAGCTTCCATCCGTCTTTGTTTCTCACGTTCGGAGCAGATGTTCTCCTCAAAGAATGTTGGAATACAACTCTTGGCAGTCACTACAAGTGAACCCCATCTGACGAAAGCATATTATGAAATATGATGAAGGCTCCCACTTTGAGACAGGCTTGTCAAATGCAAGCAAAAACAGCTTCGCAAAAAGGATCTGGCCCGTCAACAGTGTCAGTTGCATGTTGCTCCGTTGCGATCAGAGTAGAGCACTTGTGAAACCAACATTGCATATACTCTCAGCTGCACAACACTAATTCTTTCTGAGCACTTACGGTCTCGTGCCCACGCAAATAAACGAAGAGAAATGCTGAAACACTCATGTTCCATCCCGGTGCCGTGGATACACTTTCCTCCACCAACCTGTCCACGGTTCCCAAACCCACACGTGGCTGTTGGATGGGTCGCCCTGGCCTCCGGCCCTTGGCAATGCCCAACCATCACGCAATACCGCGTAGTTGGCCCCGAGGTTTGAACACCTCTTGTGCCGTTCTTGAAGAGCCGGGAAGGCGGAAGGTGGTGAACCTTCTGAGACGGAGTGTCCAAAAGCGCCAAGGGCACAGAACTTGGGTTTTAGGGGTACTTTTGAAGACTCCATGCCAATAGAAAACCCCTTGGAAGCAGCACACATGTGTTTCCTCAAGAACCTGAGCCTTCAGCACATGCTTGAAATGGGACCTGGTCAGTTTTCATGTTCGGTCACCTGATTGGTCGCTCCAAAGCGTCCCAAGCCATTGTGGATGATCTGCCAGTTAGAGCCCCTACAAGCAGCATGAGGTTAGGATTTTTAGTGACGGAAAAAGTTGCACCAAACCAACATCAACCAAACGACAAGTTAAAACGCACCAATAACTCCGTACAAAAGACCTCATTGATCTGCCTCCCTTCTTCTTGGCATTTCAGTTCGCAACTGTCAGTTGAGCCAGCTGCCTATTCATCTCAATGACACGTATATTCCCGGGTCAAAGATAGCTTGTCTTACACAATGGTAGTGCAAATATACTATCCTTACAAATCCTTACCTTTGTAGGTCTAGCCACCCGATCGGACTCCCAAAATACTCCGCTCATCTCGTCTCCGTCAACGTGCCTGGGACACGACAGCCGGGCGTCGAAGAGTTCCAGTGGTGGCTCCTGGACGGTTGGTGAGGTCGGTCTGAAGCTCTGAATAGATCTGAATAGATGTAACCTCCCATGGGAAGTTGATGTTTTTTTAATTCTTGTGTGTGTGTGTGTCAGGAGGATGAAAGATCGAATCTTTGAAGGGTGGCCAAAAAGGTGGCTTGCTTCTTGAACCCAAGAGAGTGGAATATAGAACGCTTTGGAGGTCCAAGTGGCCAGGACTGAATTGGACGTGGTCGTTGGACCAGGCATCAGCCCACTCTCAGCTCCTGTGAAGAGTCGAGCAGCCTACTCCCGAGTTTCTTTTTGGGGGGTGTTGAGGGCCACATATCTCCTTCATGATTGGAGTTCACATCCACAGTGAAGATTTAAGCCCTTGTCACCACGGTTTAGTCCAAAAAGAGTCACCTCACTGCGCCACAAAATCACTGAGAGTTCTTGCGACACATGAGTGTTCAAGTGTTGGAGCGCCCTGGTAAAGCAGTGCAACTTAAGATTTACAGTTTGAGGTGTCGGACTGGCACGCTGACTGTCCGGTGGAACCGATGAGGAAACAGAATTGGACCACTGCAACCGAGCAGGTCGATGGCCTGAAGTACCCTGTCGAGACTGTCCCTGTGAGTGAGGTAGTGGCTGGTGGCAGTCCATATCTTTGCGTGACCAGCTTGAGATCTTCAGAAGTTCCAGGGGCACCCTTGCCAAAGAAGACGATCTGTGACAGCCCACGGCGCTTGGAGTTTCATTGAAACATTGACCCGGCGAGGGGCACCAGTAAGAGAACTCTCGGCACCAATTGGGGATGGCGAGCTGCACGCAAATTGCCTGCACCCATCACCAGTAGCATGTTCCAAGCAGCCAAGGAAAACACCCAAAACATGAAATCAGGAGCTGTTTGATCTTGATCGCTTTGAAAGAACACATGTCTGGACCATTCAGGATCTGTATACACTTTGGGCCCCTGTCGCCTTCTTCCCCGTCCTGTCCCCCACACCGCCCCGCCCCTGGTCGCGCCGGCGTCCCCACGCGGAACCTTTTGCCGGCCGTCAGGCGGTCTGACTGGGTTTGGGCTACATGAGCTCCAGCAGCACGCGCGTGGTCACAGAGAATCATCGGTTTGTCTCTGCACGTTTTGTCTTGGGACGAACGTCGAATCCTTCGATTGTACTACTGTATCGTGCATGTTATCGCTGTCTGCACGGACAGCGTACGAGGATTGGACAACAGAATCAGGTTCCCCAGAATCGCTGGTCAGTTCACTTCGGGCCTACTCATGTAAGTTCCTGAAACACATGTCATGGGCGTGCGTGCTTTTCTTGAAGCACGACCTGTCGGACCCCCAATCGATGAATGCAATCCGCCGGCATCCAGGTGACTCCAAGTCACCATCGGCGAGGCATTTTTGTGACATCCAATCATCCTCATCCCAAGCACTTGATCATCTAAATTCAGTATATAGTTTTTATGTAGTTACAATGTAGTTTGATGCTCTTTTCAGAGTGAGCCTGCGGGTGAAGAGAATTTATCCTTGGATGTGTTGGGAAGAGGCACGCCTTTCACCATGAATGAAGAAGACACAACATATCATAGCACATCAACATGGAGGGTGATTAAATGTTAATAAATGCTATGAAACTTATGAAACTGATCTTCTGATCCACCCTTGTCTCATGCCATCTCTTTGAGAGATAGCATTCTGAATCCCATCACCCATCATCAGGTCCAGGTCCTCATCTCATCATCCATCATCAGGTCATCACCTGTATTAGGGGGATGTGGTCTCCAATCCCTCCAACCCCAAACCTTGTTGACCTTGTTGACCTTGAAGGGAGGCTTTTGAGCCAAATCCGGTGTCGACCAAAAAAACACAAAAACAACACAGTTAAGCTCCAACAAGCTGGAATGCAACAAAAAGAACAAAACGTCGCAAAAGACCTTGCGAAGAAGTGGGACAACTTGGCTGACTCTCCATGATCCGCGCCACCCGAGGGGTGAGAGACACCCGCGGAGCGAAGCTGCATCGCTGCCGTCGTTGCTCACGCCTCCAGCGTCTCACGTGGAGGGTTTGGTTCAAATAGACCGACGAAGGCGTGGTTTCGGGCGAACTCTGGATCAGTGGCTCCGTGGTTCACGAAGTCCCCAGACGTTCGCCATGAATCAAAAAGCGTTCCAAGGATCCGGGCGTCTCTCTGGTGGTCATCTCTCTCTCTAACATGCTGGTCATTCTGGCCTAGCGGGCGTGTCCCGCCAAGAAGGGACGGTCAATTCTTGGATCGCCCACCAGTGTCTCGAGCACCGAGTGTCTCGCGCCGGACCCTCAGGGGAATCGCCTGTGCAAGTTCATCCCAAATGGATGAGGGATCAGAGTATGGCTCAAAAAATGGGGTTCCCAGCCAGAATCGATGTATGGCCCTCCAGAACCGCCCGAATCCATGGATTTTGGGGTTCCAAGTTCCAATTCTCGGTCCTAGACCCGAACGGGACCCGAACGCCGGAACGTCTGGCTATCTGAGGGCCACTCTGGTTGCGGAGGGACGAGGTATTCTCAAAAACGGTGGTTGGCTGGGGCCGAACCAGCAAACACCAACTATCCCAATCCTGCAGAACAATTAATCGGTACAGGTGGTAATTGTAGGTGGATATACATATAAATATATAGTGAACTTGAAATTCTGGTCAAGTCATGGGCGAAGCGGAACATGTCGGTCTCTGGTCTCAGGGCCTCCTGAAGATCTCAGGGTCGTCCGGGAACATGAGCAATCAGTAGAACAAAAAATATCCAAAAATAACAAACACTATCCTTTTTGGCCCGCCTAAGGGGTCTCTGCATTCGCACCCAACTTGCTGCGATCATCCATATGTTTCTGTTCTGAGCCAGTTTTGATGGGAACCCCAGCCAAGCTGCAGGGGTCGCGCATCAAGGCCATGCGGATGGCAGTGCCGCGGCTTTTTTGCTGCAAATTGGACTGGAGGCCTGTGCCGATCAATGGTGTCCTGCCGCCGATCACTGGAGACATTGTTGATCCCCCTCGAATCCCCTTGGCTACGGTAGGCCTGTCTGGCCCCAAAGCCCCACACAACTAGGACTTGGAAATGCTGGCTCGAATGCGTAAATTTTTCTGTCCTTGATTTTTCCGTTTTTGTTGATGTGTCAGTCTATTGTATTGATCTTGCTGGGCTCGAAGCAATCTGCCATTGCTGATCGGAAGTGTGTGGGGACCTACATTCTTGGGTTGGAGCCCTTGTCCACTACATATATATATATATACACGCAAAACTGTATCTGTCTGTCAATGTCAAGGAACTGCTTATTGTGTGACGAAAGACTTGTTAATATGGAAAACCAATTGCTCTTTTGATGAGTGTTTTCAAAGGGTCTGTGAAGGGTGTAGCTGGAATAAGCCTATACATAGCACAGCCATGACAACTTTATTTCATAACATGTTTTTGGCAACTTTCAACTTCTTTTGGTAACTTTCAATTTTGTTTCAACAACTTCTTTTTAAAGTTGCAAGTTTCTTTTACAACTTCTTCTTCAAGTTACAAAACATGTTAGTCCCATCCACCGATCAAAAAAACACGCCCCCCCCCCCCAAATAAGGAAACCTCGGTCGCATTTCTTAACTTCGGGGTCCCTGAAATCGGGGGTCCAAAAAAAAGGTCACCTGGGAAGGGCTTCAAAACCAAAAAGTGACCCAGTAATTTTTTTGATATAGAAGCCTTTATTAACCGCATATCAAAAATTCAAAAAAACCTCCAGATCGAAGGGCCTTCCTTTTCCCCTACAAAAACCTTATTAGAATAGTGATTCATTAGACTAACATTTAAAGCTTTCGACAGGTGATGTCGCTGTGCCATGCGGTTTTGCGCATGTATGTCCGAACACTGGCCGAACACTAGTATAAAGTATACAGCTTCAAGTTTCCTTTATACATGACAACCGTTTGTCGCCCGAACACTGACCGAACACTAATCCCGAGTACCTATTTAAAAATCGTAAAAATGTACCTTATTAAACAATCAGAAATCCCAGATACTGTTTATAGTCGTTTTTAAATTGCTGCCCTTTCAAGCCACGTTTTTTTAAAATGAGGTTCCAAAAACAACCGTAACTGCCCACCTTTGTCCACCCTGTCCATCCACCATGACACGCCGTGTTTACACCAGCAGGCTTTCCTCCCCCCCAATGGCACGGACTCACGCAAACGGACTTTCCACCAAGGTCATTGACAAGTTCTTTTGAACATTGTAAACTCTCCCAAAAATTGTCTAGAGTTCTTGTTGTGTTCGGAAAGTTCTTCCTTTAGTCTATAAGATATCTAAAGTGTGTATAAAACAAGATTGTCATTGTCTATGCGGAAAGAACATTTTTGATGCGGTTTGTGTGCATGCCTCTGATGACCTTCTTGAAAACGCCCAACTCTTTTGCCTTTTGTCTCCCCATGCCCACCATGGCTCGCCGCGATCCTGGTTGCTTCCTTCAAGATGGGGGCCCCCTCCAAGACCTTTGGCTGTAGGAGAATCTACCTGTAGCGACTTTAGTTTATGCGGAAGTCTTCCTACCGGATTCTATTACTTGATCATCGTCTAGACCTCTATATTCCAAGTGTTCCATATTGCAAAAGACACACCATCGTCCATCGTCCACAGACCTCCAACTCGGGTCGCTGCGCATGGTTGAGCGGGCGCCGTGCATGTCAAGCATCGAAAATGGCTCCCGTTGCCAGCCATGAACAGAATGGTGGACATCTGTGGGACGTTTGCCCACCATGATGTGTCTAGATCTTCGCACCGTGATGCGCTAGTCAAAAACATCATATGTGGCAGTGGTTATCCCACAAAGATCTTGAATATTTGGATATGTTGCTCTACACATTTAGCCTCACCAATTGGCAACAAAACGTTGTCATACCAACGTGGCTGCAATAGAGCTCAACCAGCTGCTAACCAGTTTCCAGCAACTTGTTCAAGTGACAAAGGATATTATGTAAATATGTGAACCGCCGGATGTCTGCAATGCTCCCTGCCACAAACCCAGTCAAATTTGGAACCCATAAGCCTAGAATATGTTATCATTACTGTAATTGCGTTGTTTTGACAAACAGGATCTCGGTGATGCGTAAGGAAGCCTTGAAGTTCTAAGCAAGTGGAGTACAAGTCCAGCTATGGTTGCAGGGCTACGCTGGCGAGGAATCTATCAGCTTCACTGACTCCAGGAAAGCTGGTTAGCAAAGACTCCACCTGCCGCACCAACAACATCAAGTCCAGAAGTGGCAACAACACCGGTTAGATTGCAACCAAGAACCTCCTCTGATCTAATTAGTCTAATTCTGTGAGATTTTATTGGCACAAAAGATCACACAGATCCCTTCTAAGACAATTTCACAATTCGCCCCCCCAATATCATGGCATATCTACTTGTTGTGGGTTCAACCCCCTACGAGAGCGTTATGATTGTTTCACGGTACTTATTCGTATTTATATACTTCGTTTGCACCTCAAAGACGACAGGGAAGCTGCCGGGAACGGTGAGCCAACCGTTTCAGCCGAGCTTCGACATCTTCAGCGGGCAGCAACGTCAGTGACGAGTGGTGGATTCCGTGACTCGGTCAGGCTGGACCATCCTCCCAGGTTCATGG